AATTAAGTTATTGTTAATTGTTTATTGGTTTAATGTAAGTGGCTATTGTTCGGGACGAACAATACTAAAGAAGGGGCAGTGTTATGACAGCGGAAGTCACGTGAAACTAGTAACACGTAATGAGATTCACGAAGAGACGAGGGTAATCTGGATGTACGCTTTTAGAGTATATAAGCCGGCACATAAAGTGACGGCGAGGATAGAATAGAATTGCAGACAGACAGAGACGGACAATTGAGGCAAGCTCTCTTTTTAGTATATAAGCCCGGCAAATAAAGCCAGCGAAAAAGATAGAATTGCAGATATATGCAGACAGATTGAAGATAGAGATAATTAAGTCAAGCGAACAGTAGGCAGTTTAAGTAAAGTGTGTGAATCACTGTGATTTATTGCGTGTGTTATAAAAGTTGTTAAGTGTATTACAAAGTTGTATCGAGAAAGAATAAACTAGTTTTAATTAAGAAAGGACTTGTATCACTGAAGTTCCTCGGAAAGAATTGTTACGACAGCGGAAGTCACGTGAAACTGGTAACACATCATGATATTCTCGAAGGTTCTTGAATTTTCCTGGCAACTCTAGTCTGTTCCAGGTGCCCTCTTTTTTGGTATATAAGCCCGGCAAATAAAGTGGAGAAATAATTACAGATACATAGACATAGGGATAGATAATTGAGTCAAGCGAGCGGTAATGACTGTGAGTAAAGTGCGTGAACCATTGTGAATTATAGCGTGTGTTTAAGTAAAGTAACTGTGGAAATTAAGTGTATTGCAAAGTTGAGTTGAGAAAGAATAAACTAGTTTTATTTAAGAAAGGACTTTTATCGCTGTTTCTCGGAAAGAATTTCTATGGAAAATTAACAAACGAACACAGTTCGAGATGCGTGTGTGTAAATGTTTTCGGTTTCTGTTATAGATATTGTTACGCCTCCAGTCGTTAATTAATTTTCTGTAACTTCGTTCCCACGAAACTTTAGCGACATAAGTCCTTTCTTAATAAAACTGGTTTATTCTTTCTGATTATAACTTTACCGATACACTTATTTTCAACAGTTGCTCTATAACAAACGCTATAACAACAAACGTTAACTTCAACAATACTTTCTGACTGCAGTTCAATTACTCACTACCTACACATGTTGTTCCGTCACGTTGTGACCGTCTTATATATATATATACAAGACTAACACTATATCTAGTAATCTCCCGACAATTCACGAAGGTTCGAGAGAACGAGTGGCGTGACACTAGTCACGTGACCTCGCTGACGCAACAATATATATATTTCTTCATATATACTTTACGTGGTTTCATACAACTAAGTTTTTGTTGTGGCATTTTTATTTTGCTCCATTTTCTCGAACATAGCACTGTTTTCAGTTACATTTTGTTTTTGAGTATAAGGACTGAACTAATTGTTTTTTCAGTGTTTTTCCAGGTTTTTACGTTATGTTGATTCTCAGGTGGGTTTATTAAATAACTTTACGAATTTTGATTGCGATTATGTTGTTTATGAAAGAAATGTTGATTTTAGGTGTGTTTTTGTATGTCTTTTTTGTTTTCAGGTCTGGTTGTTTTTTATGACTTGAAACCATTTGATGCAATAGATCTTTTGTGCTGTTTACGAATGGCGCTAGTCGTGAAGCAGTTTCGATTTATTTTGTTTAGCTCTCCTGTTATTGTTATGCTTTTGACTTGATCTGGGTGGTATGATGTATATTGGAGAAATATCAACTTCTAACATTTTTGTTGTACGTAGAACAATGTAATTGACTGTTTTTTAATATTATTTCTATGACTAAGAGGGTTAAGTTTCCTTATGTGGTAGGTAATGATAGGTGGAAGTTGATTAGGGAGTGCTAAAACTGTGGTAGACTAGTGTATCTTTTCCATGATTCCCTATACGAAATATGTCGTTGATATATCTGTACCACACTTCTTGAGCTAAACCTGTTTTACTTCTATATGTGTCAAGAGCTTTTGCTTCTAGTGCATGAATGAATATTACTACAAATGTGACTGCTGCTGCTGCTGCGTTACCCATTGTTATTTCTTCTTCTTCTTTGTTTTTGTACAAAGGACTCCGAATTTAAATTAACTGTTGAATAAGACAAAATTAAGCCTTGTGCTGATGGTTTTAAGGTGATATTCGCTGGAAAGATGTTTTCTTTAAATGAAGATATGATGTTAATGAATCTATTTATACCTTCTTCTATGGGTATGTATGAGTACAAGGTGATTACATCTAAAGTAAAATAAACTCATCGTAAATTATTCGTGTGGAGAGTATATTTTGTCTAAGAGGTATTTTCTATTGTTTAAATGTGATGAAACATACTTTAAACAAGGTTTCATTAATTGATCCAGTAACCAGGGTATCGTTTATGACGCAGAATCATACGTTGACATTATGGGTCTTAAAGGTAAATCTTGTTTGTGGTCTTTAGGAATTCTACATAGTTGAGGAATACAATTATGGGTGGGTTTTAATTCTGTTAGAATTTTTACCGACAAAACATTATCTTTTTAAGATATTTGGTTATCTTTATGGCTTCTTCTTGGACGGGCCCCCCACTGAGACAGCGGCATGTCTGCGGACTTATAACGCTAGAAACCGGAAGAAACAACTTCATGGACGGTATTGGTTGGGTCTTTGTTTATAATTACTTTTGTTAGATATGTTTTGAAAATGCTTTTACATTTGTAACTGTTTTTGGTTAATACTACGAAAACGTTACCCTTGTCGGATTCTTTTATGATAAGATTATCATTTGTTTGGAATTCTTTTATGGCGGCTTTTTCTGCAGATTTTATTATTATTTTTTTATGTGTAACATGAATGTATTTTATCTGGTGTCGTAGAAAGGAGATTTGTGTTCTGTGACTGTTGATTCTTTCTTTAGTTTCATGATGTTCTTTCCAGCAGAAACTATATATATGGCTTTTTCAAGAGATGTTGAAATCTCGATGAGTGTTATCCGTCAGTTTTCTTCTTATAGCAAAGTTTGGGCCTTTCGCTAGGAGTGACTTAATATTGGACTGAAGATTTAGGTCATTTTCTGTGGTAATTGTTTGCTGGGTTATTGGAATGTATTTTCGTGATTGTGCTACGGTGTTGATGATTTTTAGTGCAAATATAACCGACAGCATGTTTTTATGACGCGTTCGACATGAGTTTGTTTATTAGATGTGCGTGAACTCAGTTTTGGATCTGTAGATCTGTCACTTTTCGATTATCAATGAATTGTTTTTATTAATTTCTTTTTATGGGTTCAACTCGAAATTTTGTTTCTCAACCGCCTCAATTTTTATTTATTTTCTTCGGAGAGTAAAGGTCTTTTTTTCAAAGTTTATTTCTAATATAATTTTAACCATTACAGTTATTCAATGAAATTTTACCCAGTGTCTAGAAGAAACTAAGGACATAAAAATGAGTTTGTTTGTTGTTTTAGAGGAAAAACACATTTTAGCGTTGGAAATCCATAAATTTACCATTGTCCCCTCGGGGACATCTCATTGAAATTTGGAATAGCTTTTCAACAAAACTTTCTATGCTAGCCCTGTACAGGTTGTAATAGCATTAACTAAGCCACGCCATAAAACATAACAAACACTGACAATAATTTCAAACAAAGTTTTATTTACTATCTCTGTTACTCAGTGTCGTAGCCAGGACGCACACATTGAGGGCGCAATGACAAACTCAGAGGGCGCGAGCACATTGTAATTATTTTCAGTTTTCGTTATAAATTCTTGTTATCATTTATTGATGTTCCTTATTAATTCATAAGCGAATTCACTCATGAAAAAATATTTCATATCCGACAACAAGAGCTTAAGTTAAGTATGAACTGGTAGGTTAATCAAAACAGAAAGCACGAGTCAGTCTCATGGAAAGTTGATTGGACCCTTGTAATTAATTACAGCAATGTAAACCAAGTCCAAGTTGTGTTATTAAAACAACTGTAATCGTCTATTCTGAATAGAATTGAAATCTTTCAATATCTTATGCTTCCCATCAACACTCTGACATATATCATCAAGGATGCACTTCTCAAACCCGATGAGGATCAAGTTCGTCAGTCTTTCATGAGACATCCACTGAGGGAGGTCTGTAAGCACATTTGTCAGAGCAGAAAAAACTCCTTCACATGTTGCAGTTGAGGATCCAATTGTTAATGCGGCCTCATACAGTTCTGTAATGGCTGGAAAGCTCTTCGATTTCAAATGAAAAAGCTGTTGCAAAACAGACACCAAGTTATGTTTGTCGTTTTTCCTCCAGTGGTCATTGATGTATTTTTTGGCAACACCAATTTGAGCCAAAACAAACCTGTTCATTTCAAGGCCGATCAATTCTGCGAGAAATCGCATTCGGTCTTTGTCAAAGAAATGTTCTGATTCGTGATCTTGTGACTCCATGGCACGAATAAGATGCGATATTGTTTTTGAGAAACATTCATCAAGCTCACCCAGGATACTGTCAATCAGACAGAACCACGATTGTTTGAGGTTATCATTTTCTGACAAATTGGTGTTATCTCTGTGCAGCTGGTCAACAATGTAGTTTTTGAAACCAGAGTTTTCACGACGTCTTCTCTTTTCTGCAGGCTGATGGTCTTGTACTGTTACACTGTTATCATCACCTGCAGTATTTTGCAAAATCAGCTTAACTGCATCCAGCAGATTTTTAGAGGGTGCATTTTTGTTATGAGAGGGCGCATTACGCCCTTTCGCGATCCCGTGGCTACGGCACTGCTGTTACAGTGTTACATCGTTGGCAGTATGTGATATGCAGCACACAAGGGGTGCTAATTAATGCGACTATATTTACATATATTTATATTATTATGATATTAGTTCTTTAGAGGAATATTAGGCAAAGTAGACCCTTCTTGGTTTAAGGATTTTATGGACTGCATTTGTACATAAAAGCTTCAAATTTAACATCATATGGCATAATTAACATCATTAAACTAAAATAAATATACCAGCGTCCTCTAGTAGACGTTGTTTGTGGTATATTGCCACTCGTAAAGAATTCGTGATTGTGAGGCATTCGTTTATGTTTCTTGACAATTGAAATTATCTCTTGGTGAAAATGATAGCAGAGAGTTCACAGCCGTTGTTACATAGGTAGAAATGATTTGCCTTGTGATTTTAATAGGCTTATCAAAATTATCACAGTATAACTATAGTATAAGGCGTTTAACTGAGGTCGCGTTTTGTATTGCTTATCACTAGTACTAATACTACTGCAGCGCAGTGTGATCTGAACCAGAGTGCTTTATTACAATTAAAATTTGATGACGAGGAACCCACTTTGAGACTAATAATGGCTGGAGCCGGCTTGAATGGGTAACGAAGAAAAACTTTAATATAAGTTTAACATAACAGCAAATGTACAACGTTTCGACAAGGTTTTGTCATCATCAGGTTTGTAGATTATGAATCAACTGGATGCAGATTTTGTTGCGTAGCTACATCTGATG